CCACCACTGCTAAGGTCACAGCAGTGTGTGTGAGAAGGCAATAGGCTCATCTCTCCTGGCTTGAGGGTGAGTGGCCAAGGAGAACTGGACAGCCTAGCTCAGCGTCCAGGTCACAGCAAAGATAGCATGAGAGAGACATCAGCTGGGAAAAGAACAAGAACCTTCAATGTCACCAGGAGAGAGGTCACTGTGCCCAGGCAAAAGCCTCAAAGCAGAGGAGAGAAACATAACTGTTCCCAGGTCCCCAGAGCAGCCTGCCAGAGTCAGGAACAGGAAAGGCAAGCATCTGGCTCTGTGTCCCCATGGCAGACATGGGTTCCGGGGAATTTCTATCCCTCCATCTGCTCTAGCCCACAAGTCCCTCACACTGGCTGACTGGATGTGGGGCACAGGGGGCGCCTTTTCGCTCTTTTCTATCTGCAGCTGCTGCAGAACAAAATGTGTTCCATCACGCCAACCCCCGTGAACAGAGGCCTTTCTGTATCTTAGGTATAAACACCCCATTTCCCCATTTTAATACATCCACACTCTCTCCTGACCCCACCTCAGAAGTGACAGTCCTCAGGCACAATGGCTTTCAGGCCCACTCTTGAGACCTGCCTATGCTAACCCCTTTCCCACCCTCCAAACAGGAAAAAGGGAAGGAAAAGAAAAACTCAGAAACCTGAAGATTGTTTGGAATTTATTCTCTTAAATAAGAATGGTAACATTTGTTAAAAAAAATTAAAAGCATAACACCTTAGTTTCACAGTAACGGCAAAAACAAAGTTACACAATTAAATTAAAAAACTCACAAAGAAACACACCAAAAACTCACAGCACAGATTAAAAACAAGGGCAAACGTAAAGGCTTTAGGGAAGGCCAGAAGCGGACAGGTGATGCGTTCCTTGGCACAGTGCGTCCTCCCCTGCTACGGTGTCTTTGTACCATGGCCGTGGGAACCTGGCTGGCTGCCACCCCCCCACCTCTACCCTGAACTCCACCCCAAGCTGAATGGCCCAGGAAAAAGGGAACCCCTTAATCTGCTGGTCAGGCCTTCAAGGCCATGCTGAGGCCCATTTAGGGGGGACAAAGAACAGTCCACTGCCCTACAGAGACACACCGAACACCAAGAGACAGAAGGAAGCTGCAGTACCTAACCCAGTGATACACACGCCTGGAAGCACAACAGAGGGAACGGGGTGGGGGGGTCTGCTTCTCTGTGGTAGTCCGTGAGCAACATAACCCCTGCTTTCCTAGTCTGTTTGTGAATCAACTTACTTGGGGCCGTGTACTGCTCATTTTCTGAGATACCCACCCCCCGCCCCCAAAGTCTCCACGTCCACACATGTGTTGGCTTGCTCTGTTCCCTCCAAACCCTGACCAGAACTCTAAGCCAGCCCAGTGACATGGTTCCCCACTGGAAAAGCTCCCTTGGTTTCCAGAACCAAGGAACAAGAAGCTTCAGAAACAGCTTCATTATTATGGTTATAATTATTTAGGACACGATAAATATCTACTTGTATATATGAAATTACACCTATATAAATATACATGTGTATATGTATAAATATTTACACATCACCATCAAACTGACTCTTTTTCTTTTTTTTTTAAACTACGACTCTTGGGGGAGGGCTGGGGAGTTAAGCTGGACTGCACAATTCTCTTTGCTCTACTAAGAGGTTTTCCAGAAATGCCTATAAGGGAAGAGGGCTTGGGAAGCAGTGAGATTTCCTAACTTTGTCCTTACAGGCAGGAACCCCAGGACTGCATGGAATTCCTTGTATCGCATGGCTATTCTGGCCCATTTAGCACCCAAACTATAGAACCTAATGGTGATCATGCAAGGGTTGTCTAGGGACAGGGAGCAGGCATTTGCCTCTTGTTAACTGCTAGGTGGCTTTTAAAGTTAAGACTGTCTTTTCCATCCCATCTCTGTTGCCAGTTTTACAAGAAAAGCTTTTTCTTCTCTTCCCTTATGATTCCCCATAATCTTTATGCTTCATTTTTTATTATCCTCTATATGAAATGTAAAGGGGATTCTCCTAAACAAAGAAAGGATCCAAAAAACCTGCAATTGAAGGGTCTTATGTCCAAGGAGAAAATATCTCATTTGGGGTTATTCTTTCTCTACCTGTTGTCCCAACTTTTCTTAAAGTCAGGGCAGGTACTAGGAGGCCAGGGTAGAAAATCTGTGCCAGGTCCACTAATCTATAGCAGTAAGTATACGAAGCTTGGAAACAAAGCATTTACAGATTTTGGGAAACAGAAAAGAGGGTTTCTATATTAAAAGCACATGATAAACAACAGTAATGTCTGCCTCCAAACACTAAATTAGCAGCAGTTACAGATTAGGTCACCAGAGAGAGACAACACTGCAAAGCAGGCCTGGAGTAGGTTCTTCCAACTTGTGAGTTGTTTGTTTTTTTTGGCAACAGCAGTAATTTTGGCATAAGGGGGAAAGCACATAAGGGAAAAGAGGGTACTGCCACAAACACAGAGGTGGCCCAGAGCAAACGCACAGCAGGGTTAAGGGCCAGCTACAGCCTAGCTTTTCCAGCTCTGCCTTCTGGGGGATATGGGTCTAGGAGGATGGCTTATTTATACGCAGTGAAATCAAGTTCATTCATTTACAGCTTTTTCTTGTCTAGAGTGCAGGAGAGGAGATGTACCATGGATCTGGGTTAATGACTGTTATTGAGGACACGTTTCTGGAACCCTGAAATACCTGAGTTTTCTGAAGCTTTTCAAAAGGAAATTCCAGTTAACTAATCAAAGCTTTAGTCTGAGATTTAAAGAAAGACATCCCTATCAAAAGAAAAAAAGAAATCTACTTCATGCCAACTATAAAATACCACCCATGATTCTGTTCTTTTTCTATAGAGGCTAGGAAGAATTAGACACCTCGTAGGGGAAGTGCTGGGGCTTTGGCGCATGTTCAGACTCAGGGCTGTCATTTCCAAAAGCCCAAGTCCCCAGAGGCAGATACTAACTGAATCCCGTTAGCCCTAAGCTGCATTAAAGTGGGGGGACAGTGCCTGCCTCATTCATGTTTGGGAGTCAAGCAGGGATCCCACTGGGATGCACATCTTGAACCCCTTGTGCTAGAACAGGCAAGTCACCTTCAGAATCATGAACCGTAGGGGCTGAAACGTCCTCAGGGATTTGATTCTTTCTTGGTTGAGTCTTTAACTACATTGTCAAACGCTTATCTTCTATCCTTGCTTTGTAGAATATTCCTCTCCTTCTCTATGGAAACTTTAAATCCATTATGCCTTCAGATTAGACAGTAAGAATGGCAAACTGAGCCACAGGGGAAAGTGAACAAAACTTGGCTTGCTCAGAAACGACCTGAACTTCATTGTGTTTAAATTTTTTAAAAGAATGTTCTGTACTTGATACCAAAAAAGAAAGTTTCATTTCTCTGAGTTATTTTACTGAGTGGCCAAGTTCCTTGGGAAATCCATCTCTGCTGGAACAAGGCCCAGACTGATGAGGGTGTGCTCTCAACCTGGTCAAATGCACATTCTAGACCCCAGAGCCTAAGTCTCTGTCTAGATCACTTTGGTGATTTTTCGCTACCAGCACTTCCCCCTTGTGCTCTGAGAGTGTCAACTGCAAAAGGCTGCCAGCATTTCATGGGAAAGACAGATTATAAAGGATTTCGAAGCCATAGGTTTCAAAGTCATTCGTGGCATAAACATTGCTATAAAATGTTGGTCCAATTCACAGGGCACTTAAAAAGCTTCCCTGGATTTTAATGTGGGCACACACAGAGCAGAAGCCGAATTCACCTAGCTCAGCTGGGGTTTGCTGGGCCTTAGCCTCCATATCACTGCCCTCTTGGGGCACATTCTCCCTTTCTCTAATTCTTAAGCACAGGGAAAGAAGCAACTCTGAAAACCTCTCATTTGAAAGTAGAGTGGATAATTCTTCTCTTTTCCCATTATGGAAATTTCACTACCAACTCCTCCACAGTTTCTAGCGTTAGCTGATAATCTTTAGTTTTTATATGGTAATTTTCATGAGTTTGTAAATGGCTGCTTGAGATCTAGCTGCTGTGAAAGACAGAAAAAGTGTGAGAAGCAGAAACATGGCCCATTGACTTCCTCTCTCACCTACACAATGACCCTGGGTTGTATATAGTCTGTGGCTGCCCTGGGGGTATTGGGACCACCCAGCACTTTGTGGAACTGGGGACATATCTCACAGGCTGGCCTGACACGGAGCAGAGAGAGGCAATTTTAAGGAAAAAAACTACAATTCTTCACAACAAATCTAACGTCCATGAGCCCATGAGCTAAAACACCAGAATAAATGTGTTTTCAGAGGTAGGGATAGTGTCATTCACTTCCTGACACAAGGAAATGATTAGTGGAAATGGAACAAATTACGGTTTGGTCCTCATTAGAAGTTCAAATGCCCCCAAGTGATCAGGACGGGGCATGACCTATAGTGGTTACACGTCAAACGGAAGTGCAGTGTCAGCTTATGTAGATACCTAAATAGGGAGCGGGATGCAAGAATTTCAAGTTTAGGTGAACACAAATCGAGATCATGGGGCCTTATTACAATTCCATGCTGTCCAAGGAGTCCAAAACAAGAAGGCCCTGGGACTCTGGCAAGCAGCCTGTTCTGAATTCCTGTCTACCTGGATGGGGCCTGGACCGACCACCCCAGTGTGTCTTATGGGTGCGGGCAGACTCCCAGGCCCCAGCAACAATACTTGGAGATCGGGAATGGACATTACTGACGCTCACCAGATGGCGCCCCTACTGGCTCACGGTCTGCCAGCGCAACTCCCCTCGGATTTGTACCAGCACCTCCGACAGGCCATAGAGAAAGGGGACTCCGAACGCAAGCAGCTGGCACATGAAAAAGGAGTCCAAAGGGTTTTGGGCCACTTGATGCCCAATCGAAGAAATGTTGCTTTGGAGGTGCTGGCTCATCCCCTTGGCCTTGTCACAGAGGCCGAGAGAGTGATGCACCACCCAGCCAAACAAGGAAGTGAGGCTACCTGGGGTTCTCTCAGCAGGGCTGGCCATGGCACTGGCCCGTCCATTTGCGTCCACAGTCGGGCCATCCTGCAGGGCTTCTCTGGCCTCCTAGGAAAGTCCGCAAGAAGAAGAAGAGTGACTGACTGAAGCACTAAAATCTCAGAAGGCAATGGCCCCTGCCTGGCTAGTTCATTGCTCTCACCAGTCAATCCAGACTGTATTTTTCACACAGTCAGTCTTTCTTTAATAATCCAGGACAGACTTCATGGGGAAATCGCCAGCAGTCAAAATCTAGGTCCACCCTGGAATAAGTTTCCTTTCCCCACAAGTCCCTCTGAGGTCAACAAAAGCCTCTCCAGGACGGGTTAGTAAGCCTACAAGCTGACAAGGTAACATCCTGTAGGGAAGGGAATACCCGGTTCACCTTGACAAAGACAAGTAGAGGAGCTACTCGCATTTAAAAAAAAAAAAGTAAGAAGGAAAAAAGGTATTTAGATAAGTAATTCACAGAATAAAGAAAGTTAAAGGAATTGACAAGCAGAGCAGATTATTTATAGCCACATTCCTTTGCAGGGTGTCCTTTTCTCAGAAAGATGCTTATTTACAATGACTAAAGTCTTCTCTTATATAGAGTAAACAGAAGGGTCTAACATAATCTCTCAAATCCGACTCAGGTGGTGGATGGAACATTACCTTAGTGAAATGTAATATCAAGATTATACTCGAAAAGTTGGTTTCCTCCCCAACTGGACTGTGACTGTCTCTCAGGCCCTTCCCATTCATAAGAAAGGCAAATTAGTGGCCATTTAGCAGGCCTGGCCAACCACACCTCACCTGTCACCACACTAAAATGCACCTGCTGCTTCTCCCCCACTTACAGATGGATCACCATTACCTTTCCAGAGAGAGGAGCCACTGCTGGTCTCTTCCTCTGTGCGGAGCCGGAGAGTCGATAACAGTAGTGTGGTTTGCAGTAGAATTTACCTGTAGGCAGCAAGAGGCGGGGGAAAAGGAAGTAAGCGAGACTCTTAATTCTGAACTTGACTCCTTGGTCTTAGCACACTCCTGTCTATCTCCTCTAGCCACAGGGCGCTGTCACCACTGCCCAGGCTTCTTGTCCAGGGTGGCCAAACCCTCCCTATAAACTTTGATTTCAGTCCTCCTCTCCCCTTTGCCCGAAGGGGGAGGGGGTTTCTTTGGGATATGTGAAGGCCATTGAGCTATCACCCAATCAGAGCCCAGAGCAAAGATGTGAAGCTTCCATGGCAGGGCCAGTGAACAAAGTGGCAGTGTGTGTGGAACAAAGATGTGGTCACATGGAAAGCTGGGAGTAGCATTTCTGGGGAAACCAAGAATGAACATAAGCGCAGGGTGGAGGCGTGAAGGCTGCAGGGGGTGGGGGAGCATTGAGCACCGGCTCTGACCGGACCCCCTCTGCTGCTCCCTTCTCCCGCAACCATTCACAAGCCAGCCTTATGACCCCTTAGTGGGTCAGGATCAGCATTAAAAAAACAATACAAAATCAAACCAAACAATCCTGCAATGGACTGTAAATAGAATGAAGCAGAATAAAATGCATTAAAGTGCACAGTGGCATAATCAAATTACTGGTCCTTATAGCTTTTAGTTGTGTCTACATGTGTTTACTGAGTCCTAACGTAACATGTATTTTCTTTTGCAGGTGTGGTCCAAAGTTTGAAAAACAATGATCTTGGCTTTTCCCATGACACTGGTAGTGGGAGTCAGTCACAAAAGGTCATTTTTTCTTGGCTCTTTCCTTACTCCCACTTTAAAGAGCCAAGTCTTTCGAAAATTAAAGGATAGACCCTATTATAGAAACTGTTGAAACAGAGTAATCCCATGTATCCTTTTCATTTGCAGAAGGTACTCCTTTGACAAATGAACTTTCCTGTTCTCAAAGTTTAAATAAGAGAACCCAACCAGAAAACCAATAAAAAAGGTCAATGAAAACTAAAGCCTGGCTTTTTGAAAAGATAAACAAAATTGACAAGCCTTTACTATACTAATTCAGAAAAACAGAAGACCCAAATAAGCAAAATCAGAAATGAAAGGAGAGACGTTACAACTGATACCACAGAAATACAAAGGATCATGAGAAGCTACTACATATAATTATACACCAAGAAGCTGGATAACCTAGAAGAAATGAACAGAGTCCTAAAAACATGTAACATACCAAGACTGAATCATGGAGACAGAGAAAATCTGAATAGACCAATACTGAGTAAGGAGAGTGAATCAGTAATCAAAACCCTCCCCAAACAGAAAAGTCCAGGACCAGATGGCTTCACTGGTGAATTCCACCAAACATTTAAAGAAGAATTAACAGCAATCCTTCTCAATCTCTTCCAAAATATTAAACAGGAGGGAATACTCCCAAACTTATTTTACAAGGCCAGCATTACCCTGATACCACAGCCAGATGAGGATATGACAAGAAAAGAAAATTACAGACCAATATCCCTGATGAACATAGATGCAAAAATTCTCAACAAAATACTAGAAAACCCAGTTCAACAGCACATTAAAACAATCATTCATCACAACAAAGTGGGATTTATCCCTGGAATACAAGGATGTTTCAATATACACCCTTTCATGATAAAAACACTCAACAGACTAGGTTATAGAAGTAACATACCTCAGTACAAGAAAGACCATATACAACAAACCCATAGCCAACATCATTCACAAAGGTGAAAGTTTGAAAACTTTTTCTCTCAGATTTGGAATACAAGGATGCCCACTCTCACCACTCCTATTCAACAAAGTACTAGAAGTCCTAGCCAGAGTAATTATGTAAGAGAAAGAAATAAAAGGCATCCAAATAAGAAAGGAATAAAACTGTCTTTCTTTGAAGATGATATGATCTTACATGTAGAAAATCTTAGACTAGACTCCACTGAAATGCCACCAGAACTAATCAATAACTCAGTAAAATTGCAGGATACAAAAATCAACACATAGAAAGCAGTTGTTTCTATACATTAACAACAAAACATCTGAAAAAGTAAAACAATCCCATTCACACTAGCATCAAAAAAATAAAATACTTAGGCACAAATGTAATCAAGGAAGTGAAAGATCAACACACTGAAAACTACAAGACCTCGATAAAAGAAACTGAAGAAGATACAAACGAATGGAAAGATATCCATATTTGTGGATCGGAAGAATTAATACTATGGAATGTCCATATTACCCAAAACCATCTATAGATTCAATGCAATTTCTATCAAAATTCCAATGGCATTTTCACAGAAATAGAAAAGAATCTTAAAATTTGTATGGAGCCACAAAAGACCCTGAATAGCTAAGGCAATACTGAGAAAGAAGAACAAAGCCAGAGGCATCATATTTCCCAACTTCAAACTATATCACAAAGCTATAGTAATCAACATAGTATATGGCACTGGCATAAAAACAGATACACAGACCAATGGAACACCCAGAAATAAATCCCAGTTTGAGAAGAGAGCCAAGCATACTTGATGGGGAAAGGATGGTCTCTTCTATAAATGGTGTTGGGAAAACTGGATAACCACATGTGGAAGAATGAAATTGGACCACTATCTTACACCGCTCACAAAAACGAACTTGAGATGGATTAAATTAGATTTAAGTGCAAGGCCTGAAACTACAAAACTACAAGAAAACAGGGGAAAAGCTCCTTGACACTGACCCTCTCAGCAGTGATTTCCTAGATATGACAGCAAAAGCACAAACAACAGAAGTAAAATCTATAGAAGTGGGACTACATCAAAGTAAAAAGCTTCTGCACAGTAAAAAACAATCAATAAAACGAAAAGGCAATATTTCTCCCTACAGAATGGGAGAAAATGCAAATCATATATCTAACAAAGGGTTAATATCCAAATATGTAAAGAACTCATACAACTCAGCAGCAAAAAAACTAACAACCTGATTTAAAAATGGGCAGAACTGAAGACACAGTTTTCCAAAAAAGACATGCAAATGTCCGATAGGTAGATGAAAAGGTGCTCAACATTACTAGTAATTAGGAAAATGCAAATCAAAACCACAGGCTATCCCCTCACACCAGTTATAATGGCTATCATCAAAAAGAGAAGAGTTAAGTGTTGGTGAAGGTGTGGAGAAAAGGGAACCCTAATGAACTTCTGGTGGGAATGTAAGTTGGTACAGCCCCTATGGACAACAGTATGGAGGTTCCTCAATAAATGAAAAATAGGACTACCATACGATCCAGCAATTCCACTTCTGGATAGATACTCAAAGAAACTGAAAATCAGGATCTTGTAGAGTTACCTGCAATGTTCATTACAGCATTACAACAGCCAAAATATGGAAATAACCTTAAGTGTCTGTCAATGAATGAATGGATAAAAAAAGATGTGGTATATATACACAAGAGATCATTATTCAGCTATGAGAAAGAAGGAAATCCTGCCATTTGTAATAACTTGGATGGACCTTGAAGGCACTATGCTAAGTGAAGTTAAGTCAGACAGAGAAAGACAAACACTGTATGATCTCACTTATATATGGAATTTAAAAAAGACAAACTCAGAGAAACAGAGAGCAGAACGGTGGTTGCCAGAGGTTAAGGGGTGGGGAACATGATGAGATACTGGTCAACGGGTACAAACTTCCAGTTATAAGATTAATAAGCTTGGGGATCTAATGTACAGCACGGTGGTTATAGTTAGTCATACTGTATTATATACTTGAATGTTGCAAAGAAAATGGACCTTAAAAGTTCTCACCACAGGGGCACCTGAGTGGCTGGTCACTGGTCACCTAAGTCAGTTGGGCACCTGACTCTTGATTTCGGCTTGGGTCGTGATCTCAGGGTCATGAGATCGAGCCCTGCGTTGGGCTCTGTGCTTAGTGGAATGGGGCGGCGGGGGGCACGGGTCTGCTTGAGATTCTCTCCCCCAACCCCCACTCGCGGGCACACGTGTGCACGTTCTCTCTCTCTCTCTCAAATAAATAAATAAATAAATAAATAAATCTTTAAAAAAAAATCCTCACCACAAAAAAAAAAATTATTAACTATGTGATAGGATGCAGATGGTACCTAATACTATCATGGTAATCATTTTACAGTTTATAAAAGTATAAATCAACACACTGTATACCTTAAACTTACACACAGTTATGTGTCAATTATATCTCAATAAAGCTAGGGGAAAAAAGGGGAGGATGTAAAAGTCAAAGGAAATAAAGGTGAGATGGCCTTCTTTCTTTTTCAGAGCCGGTGCTCTGATTACTACATCTTTCCTCTTTTCCTTCAAAGTAACTGACTTCTGTCTTCTTTTACCTGTACCCTGCCTCCCAACACTGACTAAATCTTTTAGAAAAATGTAGTTTATGGATTTCATAATTTCAAATAATATTCATACACATAGCATGTTTTCTGAAATAGAATTTCCCACTAGCTATTGGCACTTAACCAGAACTCAGAGACACTACATCTATTGTCAGGAACACTGACAGCCAAAGGACCATCAATCTCACTGCTGATTTCTCTATGAGGGGAGTTGAATCATGGGTTATTTTTTTCAGCTTAGACACAATCTCTTTTTACAACCTGTAATAAACCATTTCACTTTTGTGAATGTTTTTTTTAAAGATTTTATTTATTTATTAGAGAGAGAAAGAGAGCACAAGCAAGGAGAGCGGCAGAGGAAAAGCAGGCTCTCCACTGAGCAGGGAGCCTGACACTGGGCGTGATCCCAGGACCCTGGGATCATGACCTAAGCCTAAGGCAGATGTTTAACTGACTGAGCCACCTAGGCGCCCCTCACTTTTGTGAATTTTGGCTAAGATAAATGTAATTAGGGCAAGACAAAATTTATTAGTGCTTGGATCATATGCTTCTCTTTTGTCTGTTTTGTATCTCATTCTTTATTTTTTTTTTTTAATTTATTTATTTGAGAGACAAGAGAGTGAGAGAGAACATGACCAGGGTGAGGGGCAGAGGGAGAAGCAGACGCCCCGCTGAGCAGGGAGCCCGATGCGGGACTCGATCCCGGGACCCTGGGATCAATGACCTGATCGGAAGGCAGATGCTCAACCAACTGAGCCACCCAGGCGCCTGTATCTTATTCTTTAAAAAATGCTCCTTCCTCCTCCACGTGATTCGGATGGGCTATCAACCGTGTGGCCTAACATTATCCACCACAGGAATAAATATATGACCCATATAGGTCAGTCAGACTATCCCCTTTTCTTCCAGCCCACTCCAGGATAGAGCATGTGGCTAAGTCAGGCTAACCAGAGCCATTCTGGGGGATGCTCAGGGATGGTGAGACAGAAAGGACAGCCCTTCTCTGAGAATGCTATCTACAAGGAAGATATAAACCTAATGCTTCAACTTTAATCTGACTTGGGTTTCAATTATTTATAACCAAGTCTTGTTTTATTATAGTATCAGAAAACTATAATTATAGTTACTTTCATTCCTTTCTTCTATTTTTTTTCCCCTGCATCAGTTTGCTTTTTTCTACTAAGTAGAATCCTAGTATTTTAAAATACAACTCAATAGGCTAAACTCCAGGGAGTCCACATTGAATTCTGCTATAGTATCCTAAATTAATGCAAGAGGCTTAGGTTTCAAAACAAGTCCTAAACCTAACCAAAAGGTAATTTTCAAGAAAAGTCCAGAAAATTGTTTTCTCTAAAAATGCAGTATAATGTGATGGAGGGAACATGAGCATTGAAGTCAGATCTCAGTTTAAATACTGTCTCAAGCACTCAATAGCTGTGTGAACTATTTAGCATTTTGAAACACGTATCTTCATGTAGAATATGAAGGTAATACTCATAGGGTGAGATAAGTAAATGAGAAATCACATTATGTGTGGCAGGTACTCAATTAATGTATCTCCTCAAACCCCTTCCCAAGCTCAACATGATGGTACTTCTTACTTCTTAGATTAATAACAAAAAGAGCTAATTTTTATCTAACATTTACCATGTGCCAGATACTATCATAACTATTATAATATCTACCAACTCATTTAGTCCTCAGAACTCAATAAGGTAGATATTGTTACTCTCCACCTTTTTCCAGGTGAGGCACAGAAGGGTTAAACAACCTGCCCAAAGTGTCCCCTACTCTGTAAATCTCACAGAGGATTTGAACCTAGGAAGCTTGGCTCCAAAGTCTATACCTTTAGTCACTATGATGCCTGTCTCAATCAGTGAATACAGCCACACTAACGTTATAAACTAACCACAAATTATGGTTGGTTCTGTCAAGCCACTGATTTTAGATGGACTAAATAAATTAAATCTTGGTAATTAAATATGGGAGTGACTAGAAAAAGAAATCAGAGGAAACAAATGGCTAAAGGGCAAGCTTAAGGCATAATGGGCCATGGTTCATTCATTCAACAGCTCACTGAATGCCATCATAGGACAGGTACTAATCTAAACACTGAGAATGTTCCAGTCAAGAGGACAGACTAGTCTCTGCTCAGATAGAGCAGATAATGTGTGAATAAGTATCAGGTAGTGATGAGTACCACAGATCAGGAGGTCTGCAAAAGCCTCTCTGAGGAGGGAATATGCAAGCAAAGCTGTGAATGACAAGAAGCCTACCCTGTGAAGATTAGGGGGAAGTGCATTCCAGGGGAGGAGACAGCTAGTGCAAAGTCCTAAGGTAGCAGTGGCCTAATTAGGTTTATGAAATGGAAAGAAACCAATGTGGCAGGAGTACAGTGAGCTAGCTGGCAGCAGAGAGGAAATGTAGGCTGGGGTAGACAAGCGAAGCTCTCAGCCTGAGCGGATTCTATTTGTAGTGCAGCAGACAGTAAGGGTACAAAGCAGCAGGCTGGAAAGATCTGATTTACATCTTTTAAGATCCCTCGGTTGCTTTGTGGAAGCAGACTCTAGGGGGCAATGGTGGAGGCAGGGAGACCAGTAGTCCCAATGGAAGATGCAAAGGGTGGTCAGGGTGGTTGGTACTCAAAGAGATAGACAGCAGTGGACTGTTTCAGGCTTGTTGCTACCAATGGTGGCCCTTCACAGACCACCTTAGCAGGTAGTGGGTTTTCTTTCCTTGAGATGACAGGGAAAGACTTGACACACTGTCTGATTTAGAGTCCTTGTCTAAAGAGCTGGCAGCAGTTGAAAATAAGCTAGTATTTGGCAAGAGAAAGAGGAGCTTAGGACTGCATCCTTTTAAAAGAGCTGAAAGGAAGACTAATCAGGGACAAGGGTAAAACATGGATATTTCTCTGAAGCGTAAGATTCTCAATTTGCCTGTGTGGAGCTGACACAGGCCCAGAGTCACTAATCCCAGAATGTCTGACCTGGAAGGGATCCCAGAGGTCATTCAGTGCAAACCAGCACTTACTAGTTTTGTGTGAACTTGAACAAGGAACTTTGACTTCTCTGAATTTGCTTCCTGATTTGTAGAATTGCAATAATAAAACCAGTTACTGTATAGGGTTGTTGTGAGAACAGAAGGACATGGTATGTATCTGAGGGCCCACCACAGTGCCTGGGTTACTTCTTTTCTCCTACAAACGGCCTATGACTTCCCTTTTTCTTATCTGAGGCCCTTCAGTTAGATTTCTGAGTCACACAGTAATGTGGATAAAGAACAGACTAAAGCTTTAGGATCCCTAAAATTCCATTCTTTTCTCTAGTTCATCTGTCCTTTGTGGAGGGTCTGAGTTGATGAAAAATTCATTTGGGTTAGAATCTGGGGAGCTTGTTTAGATCCTCCCCGCCCCAGTCAACGTCAACAATGCACCCAGCCAGGCTGGCCTGCCTCATCTGCTCCCAATGTCATGGTCATTCCCATCTGAGCTCCTGTCATTCTCTTGCCTGGTATGCCCTCTCTTCCTCCACTGAGACATTTTATACTTGTCTCTCAGAGTCTAGCCTAAGGTCAGTTCAGTCATTCCTAAAAATTGGGGAGCTTCATCGATTTCTTCCTCCTCTGAACTTGTGCAAAGTTAGAATCTATATTTTGTCTCTTAGTCCTTAATTATATACTCTTCACCGTCTGTTGTTGCTCCATGCGCCCTTGTCTTATCATGCCCATCAGAATGTAAGCTCCTTGAGGAACATTTTACATTTCATCCGTGTCCTCAAGAGAATGTGGCAAAGATGAGTACACAATCTATGGGCAAAAATACTTGGGGATCTACTGGCTGGACCTTGAAGGATCTTCAACTGTCTCCTCAGTCAAAAATTACCTACCAATGTAGTAATGGACATACATATGTATCAGAAAACCAAATATATTTCCCCTATACATTTGGTCTAGGTCCATAGTTCCTGACTCAGCTCCAAACACTTGGAATTCCCTAGATAAAGGTGTCTTTTGTTGTAATAATTCAGGTAACTTTTAGACCCCACCCAGGGGCAGGGGCTGGTTGCCAGAAGGACGAACTGTGGGATTAGAGGGTACCCCCTTTTAGGGTACTCCCCAACTCTCCAGGGGAGAGGGCTGGAGATTGAATCAAACAATGGCCAATGACTTAGTCAAACATGACTGCAATGAAGCCTCCATAAAAACCCCAAAAGGATGGGGTTTGAAGAATTTCCGGGTTGGTGAACATGTCGAGCTGCAAGGAGAACAGTGCACCCCTGGAGAGTTGCCCCATGGAAGCTCTATGCCCTTTCTCCAGACCTTGCCCTATGTATCTCTTCATGTGGCTGTTGATTTCTATCTTTTATCATATTCTTTAGTAAACTGGTAAACTTAAGTGTTTTCCTGAGTTCTGTGAGACGCTTTAGCAAATGAAAAGAACCTAAGGAAGAGGTTGTTGGAACCCCCAATCTGTAGCTAGTGGGTCAGAAGCACATGAAACAGCCTGGGGATTGTGACTGGTGTCTAAAGTGGGGGATGAGGGGCAGTCTTCTAGGCCTGAGCCCTTAACCTGTGGAATCTGATGCTATCTCTGGGCAGAGTAGACAGTGTCAGAATTGAGCTGAATTTTCATATACCCTGTTGGTGTCAGAGACTTGCTTGGTGTTGTGGGGCTGGTGGGGTGAGGGACTCCCACACCCCTACATTGGAATTGGGTCTGAGAATCCAAAAAGAGGTCACATAATGCCACCTCTGTGAGGACGCCTATTAATCTAGGTCTTTTCATTACTTTTGAATCAGTAAGACTGCCTCTCATGAAGTTCCTTCAGCACTCCACAGGAATGAGTACAGTAATCAATGTCTTTAAGATTAATTGAAAAGGTCACCAAAGAGTTTTCAAATGGCAGACATGTCTGTCTATCAGGCTTTGTCATCTATTTGTATAATTCCCCACCTTCTGCTCCATTAAGGTCTTTCTATTATAAAAACAATACATGCCACGAAAGGCCAGGGCTTGAACACTGCAGTAAATTAGATTTAGATCCTGTGGAACAAACTCTCAATTCATCAGAGAGATGCTGATCCTAGAGAGAGATGGGCATAATTTGGTCATCCTCCAGAAGCAAAGTCTGAGAACCCAGGCGGCATGAGATCCAGTTTTAATTTGCTGTCACTGACCTGTGGCAAGAGATAGGACTTCTACAGATCTGTGATATCCCCTTCTCTAAAGTAAAGACAAAAAAAGCCTCATCCTCTTTGTGTCCCTTTTATTTTAAAATCTCACCCTGAGGTAAGAAACACGTGTCTGTGAAGCCAGGGAAGTGATTTAGGTAAACACATGCCGTTCTCATTACCATCTTTGCTGAGTAATGCTATGCTACAGCCTGGTGACTTTAGGGAAATATTTATAAGAGTCTCAGAGAAAAAAACAGAAGAGTAGAGGGAGATGGATGGGAAGGGTTAGGCAAGGCAGAAAAAAATGTATATATAAGAACACAGTAAGAGGCCCTAAGATCAGTTCACATGGAAAACAGTGTTCCCAGGCCCAGTTTCTAAGTGCAAACAGGCTTACCGTCCTCAATGTCATAGGCGTAGGCCGAGAGGCGCAGGGTGGTGGCACAGTACTCGCATTTGAAGCAGCTCCGATGGAAGAACTTGCCCTCAGCACTCAGCCTTTCCATCACATAGACCCGCTTCCGGCAGAAATAGCACGTGTCGCTGCCTCCCAAGTTCTGCGGGAACTCCTTCTTTATTGAGCCCTGTAATGGGGGGCAGTGGGAGGCACGTTAGGGCAACATTTCTCAGGCTCACCTCCAGGAGGTGCACGACCCTTTCCAGATGTGAAACTAACCCTCACTAAGCGATTTTGCTTTGAGACAGACTAAGATGGCTCACTTTGCTATTGGCTCTCCCCCAAAACAGCGGCACAAGTGCAGAGACTGTCACATGTGCCCTCTATGCAGTAAGCAGCAGGAACTGGGTTCTGAATCGATGTTCATCAACAGTGAGAGGACACCCCAGGTGGTTTTACAGAATTTCACAACAATCAAACCGAATTATTTTGGCAGAATTCTGTTTTGAAGGTAGCATAAAAATACCTCCTTAGTGTTCACATGGTTCTACATGATATGGGTCCCCTGGACTCTAGAGAAATCGCTTTTAGAGATACTAAGTACATTTTTCCACACGACATTCTAAACAACCATTCAGTCCTAGAAATTGTTACGAAATTCAGATAACCTAAAAAAAAATTAACACATGGCATATATTGGCTATATATGTTACTAAGCTACTTAGAATTAACCAGGTTTATTTACCACAGCTGTGCTATATCTAGATAGACAGTGCCCTTAACACATCTCTTACCAGTTCCTTCTTGTCTAGAAGGGTTTTGGGCTGTTCTTTCCTTTGAAGCTGATTGGCTATCTGCTCAGCCAATGAGCTCACTCCGCCCGTGTACATCTTTATATACTTCTATTGGTTGGAGATTATAAAATGACCAGAATGAAGGGAAATGAGAAGGAAAAAAATAAATAAATTAAGAAGACAGGGAAAAAAATCGTTGAAAGGTATAAAATGAATACAAGGTGCAGCAGCAAACCATGCCAACACAGTGCCCACAAGCAGGGAAACTTGGTGGTAAGAAAAATGGTGTCATTTGTCCACACAGACATATCAGCATTGGTAAGAATAATGGCTGCAGGAATAATTAAATTCAGTAAGGAAGAATTAGTCTTTCATGTCTTTTCGGAATATATAGTTCAGGGAGGTGGGAAGACAGGATGGATACAAATATAGAACAGAATAAGAAGGGCGCATATCCTAGTGACTCAAATTACATATGAAGAATTCAAGATGAACAACTCCTACCAAAACAGCAGATGTCCAGATGAACAGCATGTTTCAAGTTGGGTCTGGGGAGACCTTGGGAAGTTACTTCCTCATTTAGAAAGAAACCAAGCTCACTCTTGCAGGGATGACTCTCCCCTTGGGTAAAAGATGCCAATAGCCTTACTAGTGATGATCACCTTCCTCCTATTAATGCTTCGCTCACAACCCCTGTCATATGCATCAAATATTCCTGAGCTTTATCTGGAAGAATCCTTCTCAGCCCATTCTCTCTGTTGGTATTTATATGTTCTATCTGGGCACTAAGGCTAAAACCTTCTAGACTGGGCTGGGCTTCTTAAACTCAGCTGCAGGAGGCTAACACCTGCAGCCAAGCAGACAAGTGGTTTGGTATAGTCTTGGGAAATCAGAATGTGTTTTTAGTCCAGGAGGGATTATTTTTTTATAGGTTGAAAAAAGAGAAAAGAAAAAATCCAACCAATTCAATCCTCTTTCTAGCAATGCGGAAGAAGTAACAAGAAACTACCAAATTTCAATTGTAAGCCTTCCTGCTAGGCAGCCTAGCTTTGAGCCTGTCCCTAGTGAATGAGGTCAAAGCCTTGCTGGCTGTCCTTTAGAGACTCCACAGTCACCCTTCCACGTGGAAATGATCAGGACACACCGTGTGTGCAACACTCCTCTCAAAAACTATATGCAATAGGACAGCTGCCTGCCGAGTGTGAGGAGTCCTGACTCTAATTCTGACTGAGAAACACACCAGGGCAGTTGTCTTGGGGGATGTTCACAACTCCATTAGGAAGTGGTTTGAATGGACAACACGCAAAGCCATGTGTGAGAGAATCGCTGGCCTGAGCAACGGCATGCCCTGGGCTAGGCAGGAACAAATAAGAGAAGTGCTCTGGGGGAAAACTAACTCCATGTTAACTCTAGAATAATAACAGAAACACAAATGAGCAAACAATTCTTCAGGGTTCCGCTGGAACTGAGGAGTCAATTCTATTTTTCCATTTAAAATAAGGAGATTTCCAAGGATTGGTGCCACTTGCTCATTAACTCCTCAGCTTATACCCATTAGTAGTCGAGAAAAACAAGTGGCTCTAAGATCTAAACCTTCTTTAGCTTAGAGATATCAAGGAAGCTTACACTTGGAACAGATTGGCACCAGGCAAAGCAGAGCACATCATTTAACAGCTGACACTGAGGGTGCAGAAAATTGCGCTTCATTCTGCAGGAAGTAAGTGAGAGTGTAGGCCAGATGTCACACATGAGGCTGGGACACTGAGCAAACCCTGGGGCCTCACTGCTCAGCCAGGACCCTTCCCTCCCACCAGGAACCAGCATCCTCAGCAAATACATACAGCCCAGGGCTGCCTGCGTGCAAAGGCACTGGTCACATTCAGTTCTCAGCAATGTGGTAATACTGACAAGCATCCCCCAAGAGAGGTGGAGACTCAAGTTCTATTTATTCTGGCATGAAAAGCAGATGGTTTCCTTCTCCCCAATCTTAAGAAATAGTCTAAATGTAGCAACTGTTAGACTTATACTTTTGCCACCACACATGCATATGCTTCTGCACACGTACTGCATAGACTGCTCAAGAATGGGAAACACAAACAGAAAGGGCAAAAAGACCCGCCAATCACTCTCTAAGCTACTCTACAGCTGGATCAGTTCCACTGTAGGAAAAAGCAGGGCTCATTCTTCAAATGATTACAATTTGAGAGGCACCCAGAATACTGCATAATTACCACTCAAGAGATTTAATTACACTATGGTCCATATTTTGTCATGCATATTAATATGAAGACATTTGGAATTTAAAAGCTAATGGCTGAAAACTTTATTATTATTCGATATAGTTGAAATATAAAAAAAGTGAGTTTGACAGAATTTGATGCCATGAAAGCTAGCAGCCTCCGTAACTTTGGTGTATGCCTACAGACCTTACATGCAAAACAGACAGACGCAGGTGGATTCCTACAGAGACAGGCCAAAGTTAAGAGCTCTGCAACCTCACTGGGCCACATGACATTTGTGTAGGTGAACTGAGGAGAGGCTGAAGAGGAAAGAGCTTTGCCAAGTTCCAGGCTGTGCTACCTGTCGGAGGGAGTCAGAGGAAGGAGAGGCGGGGCGGGTGGAGGAGCGGAGACTAAGAGAAAGCTCCCACTGGTCAACAAAGAATCGACGAGAAGGTTCAGGCTCTGGCTACAAAATACAAGATGGAGAAAAAAAAAAATCAAAGGAAACGTTAAATAAAGTTACACATTGACCTGAATATAAGGAATTTGGGAGTTTTAGACCTTTATCTAAATAATAAAGTAAAGAAATATTCTTATTCCAAAAATCATGAATGGCTCACCCTTGCCTCATGCTTACAGTGAAGCTTGCTCTGGAACACGGTCACTGTAGTTGTGAGCCTCCTCTGCAAGCCTTGTCTTCTCCTGTTTGGCAGTTTTACTCAATTCACCCCAAGCGGAAAACGCTGCCAGCCAGGAGGTGGCAGAGGGCAGAGGTGGTGTCCTGCTCACACACACACTCTTTATGCTCTGCAGAGCCCCTCACTGGCTTGAGCTGGGACTTCTGGGCAGAAGGAGATTCTACCAGCTTACAAACAGTGAACAGAGATAGCAAATCTAGAGTGAAGCTGACTCCTTCTCCATAAAGGCAAGAAATGTGGCTTTGCCTCTTCTTATTGCCAGTGCTCAGAGAAACTCTGCCTGCCAAGGAGCCAGCCAAATCCCAGCAATGATCAGGAGAAAAGATCCCACATCCCCTGCGGACTGCATGCAATATGTGTAACAAAAGTAAGCTGGGATCCTCTGTGGCCCATGCAGCCAGGAGCCATCCAGTCTCCAGAGAGGGAGAAGGGGGCTGAGAGCTCTGGCAAGTGATAACTGCTTAGTTTCCTACCAGGTTCAGGGTGAAGTACTTGCAGGGTAGAAGGAAGAGGTACTGTCATGGTAAGAGAAGCCAGCCCTCTGTCCCTCTAGCTCCAAGCAGATGCACTGCACCCCCAGTTCAGAGCCCCCATTAACTTCATAGCTTTAACAGGTGCTCCAGATGCTCAGCCAGCTCACTGGCCCTCAGCTCAGCACATGGGGCAGGCTCAGAAACATAGGCCTGGGGCAGTGGGGGGGATCTCTGTAGAAGAGTACCACCCACCAGAGAGAAACAAGACAGAGGCAGCTCCCCCCCAGAGATGGCAAAGCAGTGAAGATGATGGGAAGACTGGGGGTGGGAGGGTGAAGGAGCAGGTGAGTGCATAGGAAAGATTATGGAATAGTGGAGAGAAAATCTTGGAAGAGAACATAAATGGTAACCCTTAAAGGTATCTAGACAGGAACCCTGCAGTGAAGAATCCAGAAAGCAGCTCACTGGGAAAATGCTACCTTTCCTCTGGGCACTGCAGCCCCAGACGTCTGACAGCTTCTCCCTGCCCATCTCTCCATCTCTCCTTTTCCTTGACACACTTCCCTCTGTTCTTCTTTGCTTAGGCACTGTTTCATGAAAAATCATCAGGACCTCATTAAATATGCATGCCCTGAAATGTAGGGCTTGCCCTTCTCCATGAAAATGCCTAGTTTTCTTTTTGCAAGGAATATAGCCTGGGAAGGAGAAAGAGGCTGGGCATACACAGTGCTCGTGGGAGGAAGCAGCCCCAGCAGAAGGGAAGGAAGCAGAGCAAGGCTGTGCGTGAGGAGATGAAAGGGATGCCCTCTTTCCACCTCCATCCCGGTCTCTTCTCCCTCACCCAGCACCGATCCACGTGTGGTCCTGGCAGCACACAGACCGCCTGCTCCTCACATGGTAACAGGGCCTAGGGACACAGCACTAGCTTCCTTAGCTGTGACTCTATTTCTCAGAGAGCAAAAGCAGAAAGAGAGGTAAAAATAAAAGAAAAAGGCCCATG